ACCACTGAATAACCAAGTTAAAAATGACCGGTGGCATTTTTGTAAATAAATGCAATTGTAGAACGTTGAACCCCATTGAATTCGACGTTTTATGAGGGTAATTATTTAAACCAACGCGTCATTATCTTTCTTCTTTCTTTTAAACCACCAATAGTACGTCGAATCCTGTAGGGGTTCGACGTAATATTTGTCAGTCAGAAGCCAAAGAGTCACCCTTTTTAATTCTTTTTTCTTTTTTCTTTTAAACAACAAATAATACGTCGAATTCTGTAAGGGCTTCGACGTATAATTTTGTAGGAACTTCGACGTATTATTTGTTAACCAAAAGTTTCCCCTTTTTAATTTGAGCGGAAGATTGAAAATTCATTTACTTTATCTTAGTGCACAAGACCCTCTTCTCTTCTCAAACTTTTTCTCGAACGAAGTTTGACGACCATCACATGTAATCTTTCTTTCATTTATAAATGTTAATTAACTACTTAATTTATAATTTTCGTTTGTTTTGACCGATTATTTTCATGTTCTTGTTCTTCATAAGCGCATTTTGCTTTCTCTCCCACTGATGAAAAAACTTTATTCCGACGAACCCACCTTTTGAAGGTTAATTTTCGTTTTCGTTTTTGTTTTGAAGAACTTATTTGTTGAACTTGTTTGTTGTTGTTTTTTGTTGAACTTGTTTGTTGTTGTTATTTGGTTGAACTTGTTTGTTGTTGTTATTGTTTGATTGAACTTGTATGTTGTTTGTTATTGTTGTTTATTATTGTTGTTTGTTGTTGATACTATGCTACACGTTCATAGTTCATGTTTTATTACCAACTGAAATTTGTTTTTTTTTTTGCTTTTCAGATTTTGTAGAGTTGTAAAAAATGATTACAATCATTTTTTAAAAAAATTGCTTAACGTCGAATATTAACAAAATTCGATGTCAATTTGATTAACGTAACGTCTCCCGATACTATTTTGATCTCAAATCCGACGTAAAAGGCCAAAAAACAACGACGTTATATGATATTTTTGTAATAGTGAACATAATATAATCCCCAGCAATCTAAATAATTTTTTATTAATTTTGTTTTAAAAATTCAAAAATTTCTATGAATTTATCAATACACACTTCCTATACAAAAACCCCTCGCATATTCATTTTCTAATTAAATTTATTATCTTTGAAAAATTAAACTCAAAACTTTATTTAACAATTTTAAACTCAATTTCAAATGGACCAAATAATTTTCATGAAATTTAGTTAATAACTAAGAAAATAATAACTTTAACCATCTTTTAATTCCCAATATGCGATTATCATAACTTCTTTTTAATAATTTGAGTTTCATATTCACACATCCACCTATATTTAAGTATTTTAACAATACTATAAAAAGAAAGAACGGGTTAAATTTAGAACTTAATTAGTCCAAAACAAACACAATAACGGCATGAAAAATAGAGAATTGGATGAAAATTATAAAATTTTTAAAATACGAAAATTAAAGTCAGGTAATGAATCCTTAACGATTTATGATAAAAAAAAATGTATATTAAGAAAAAGGTGTTTGACTTTGTAGATAAGAGGCTTATGAAGCCGTTGGGTAGAAATTTACAGCTCATTTCCAAGTAAGAAAAAAAAGAAAACGTTTTGTTATCTTGAAGTGGAAGAAGAGGATAAGGCCAAGTAACATAAAAAATAATACAAAAACCCAAAACAATTCATACAACGTTGTTCCAAACCTTATCCACAACATTTTTAACCTTAAAAAAAAATAAAGAAAGAAACACGTAAGAGTCTAGAAGCCAATTACCTTTTCAGTTTTTCTTGCCGAAATTATAAATACGCCAACAATCTATAAAGATCGCTATGTCGTGTGCTTGTGTCTATCCATTCCATTTCCAACTCCTCTCTCTCTCTCTCTCTCTCTCTCTCTCTCTCTGTTGGGTTGGTTTTTTGTTCTTGTTTCTCTTTGCCGAGTTGATGATGATGACACGCGCCGTATTGTTGGACGCGCCGGGGGGAGGTTCGGCGGCGGAGGAGTGTAGTACGTCGTCGTCGTCGTCGATCGGGAGGAACAGCGACGTGTCTTCGGAGAGATCTGTGGAGGGAGGAGAAAACGAGGTGGAAAGTGCCTACCGTGGACCTTTGCATGCTATGGAAACTTTGGAAGAGGTTCTTCCAATAAGGTAAAACTACATGTCCGTGTCTTTTTTTTCTTCCAATGATACTAGATTTAGATCCTTTTTTTTATTTTTATAATATTAGTTTTTTTTTGTTTGCTTTGTTAAGTAGATTCATTTGTATGCTTATTGTTTTCTTTTCTGAGATGATAAGCATCCACCCAAATTGGAATGGGAATAGGAGAGATGGGAAGGAAAAAAAGAAAAATAGAGAGTAGTGATCTATATAATAAAAATAGGAGAAATAAGATAAAAATATATTGAGCTGAAGGTGAAGATGAGTGTATATTTATAATTTTTCATTTTCTAGTAGTTGGAAATGTTCATTTTTTGTGGGAAAATAGTTGAACTGGGATGCCAAACTGTCAGTTGTATTGATTTGTTTTCTTCTTTGTCCATTGAGTTTCTGCGTCTTTGGGTGTTGGATTTGAATCTGGTCTTCCATGAAATTGTTGTAAGATTTTGAAATAGTGTTCTTAGAACACTTTAGGTCACTTGTAGTTGTCCTAAACAAGACAATTTCTATTTAACTTGAATGCCCTTTTGAGTGGGTTATGTTTTAGGTGCATCTGTAGATTTAGGTATAAAAGGAAAAAGTTATTGGAGATCTCTCGTGTATGGAAATGGCCAAATTGTTTATTTGTCGAAAGCCCTTTTTCTTAGGTACTAGAGACCAAACATTCCCTCAACGTAGCCTCTTTCAAATAATTTTAATGTGACAAATGTCTGGTTGCTTACATTTCATCTATCTGTTGTTTGTCTTATTTCAAATGATGTTTGGAATTAATGAATTAGTTGTGGTTGTCAGGAGAAGCATCTCAAAGTTTTATAATGGCAAGTCAAAGTCATTCACCACCCTGGCTGATGCCGCATCTTCCCCCTCAGTGAAAGACATTGCAAAGCCAGAGAATGCTTACAGCAGGAGGCGTAGGAGTTTTATGGCATTGAATCACGCTTTGGACAAGAATCGAAGCTACCCTCTAAGATTTAGTGGTGGTGGGATTTGCAAGAGACCAATCAGTTTGAGTAGGAGCACTCTGGCTTTTGCTGTTGCCATGAATAATTCTGAGAGCAATAGTAGCATTACAAGTGAAGACTCTGGTTCCAGCTCAAACTCGATACCATCGTCCTCATCGTTATCATTACTACCACCTCTTCATCCGAGAAATGGAGTGGCTTCTGGTGCATACCCATCGTCTCCTTCGCTGCAAAATCTCTCTTCCTGGAGATCGTTTTCCCTGGCTGATCTACAGCAGCATTGTGCCATTGCTGCAACCATGAAGATTTCGAGTACCTCCATCGGGAATAAAACAGCTCATCCATCATAAAGATGACAACAAAGCTGTGTTATCATTACTATTTAGGTTATTTATTTCAATGAATGTCTTGCTCTCCTATTTGTTGGAGGAAACAAGTTGTTAAGAAAACATGTCTTTGCGTACGATATCTTCAAACTAACTTCAGTAGGATATGATGTGGATTGCCCTCAGAGCACTGACGCTTCCCTACGTATGACTATTGTAATGAGTGTAAAAATTTAGTGATTAATGTTCAAATCAGTCCCCCTGGATGTTTTTTTACACAATGTTGAAATCAGTCCCCTATGTTTTAAAAATGTTGAAAATGAGTCCCCCAGTTGCTTTTAAAAACTGTTCACAAACAAAGTCACCCAAATAAGGCATATGATGCTGAATATGCAACATAAAAAAATACATAAAACAAGTACATAAAACAAATACAGAAAAGCAGCTTTCCATTCTTAGACACATAAAAGAAAACAGAAAAATCAGTTCAGTAAGTAAGTTAAGTATGTATTACACCCACCATGTTGTAACAAATAGTACATTTTTTAATTACACCACCACGAAATTTAAATATCTAATAACCCAATTCTTTTGACTTTTGCACTAAGTATGTTTTTTCTTCTGGACTTTTGCATTTGTTGGCCGGGCATGATGGGGCTTGATGGCTGTGATGGTCAGGGGTGCGGAACTGGAGGTGGCTGTGATGGTTGTGTTGTTTCGGCTGGCTGGGGCTTTTAAAGGGAGTTAATCTTGTTGTTGCCCCATCTTACGACAAAGATACATTTTTGTTTCTTATGGCCACCAACACGCATTTGCGTCTGACTTTAGTTGAGCTCCCAGCTTCCAACCCTCCTTTTTTTCTTTAGGCCTCCCAGGCATCTTCCTGCTCAGTGGTTGGTGTACATCATTGAAATTTGTGGTTTCCAGAGTAGGTGGGCCCATTGAGTGAAAAATGATGGACGAATAGACCTCTTCATAGGTGGATCTTGTGACACATTGGGGACAAAAGTCGTGGATAACGTTGGAGAAGTTCATTGCTGCAATGCATGACAGAATGGAATGACACTAATCATCCACTTTCTGCAGTACACTCCTTTTGTCCAGGTTCAGTGTGAACTTGTTCCAACTGAAAGAAGTATGCCTAACTCAAAAATCTTTCGTGCAGACCAGCTGAAAGAAATGAAGCACTCCAACATGTAGATAAATAACTGTATATAAAATAAATTGAGTGAAAATTACCTTGGCACCCAAAATCTTGACAGATACATTCCTTCTCAAAGTCTCTATTTATCTTTGGGCATACTGTGAACTCCATAGATGCCACCTGGTTCTATTGGTGGCCCACCTTTTCATGAGATACAAACTCTGATATCCTCCATCATGGTTATATGTCTTTGAAATTCTCCTTCAAGGGTCTGTGGCAATTAACTTTGCCCTTCGTGCCTTGGATATTGAACCTTGTATTCCATTTTCTTAATGCTTTAGTACGAATATCATTCACATTTAAGTAGGATTGTCAACTAAAGACCTATTCTATTTCTTCACTCAACCACTGAGCATTCATAGTTGATGTTTAAGGTGCCTTACTACAACCGTGGTATCAATTATTTTCCTTATTGCCAAATTTTGCGTGGATGGCAAGTACCCACAGTAAGGTACCCATGGGCACTCCCTTGGCACCCATCAGCGCACCCTCCCCTCGGCTTATCATTCTTCCACAAATTTTAGATCCCTCCCAGCATGAACAACATACCTTCTAATAGCATCCTTAAACTCTTCCTTCCCACTGAAAATGGTGCCCACTTCCCACTTGTAATCTGTCATGGACTTCTGTTTTGTATATTTTGAGAAACCACCCATACATAGTCTATCCTCGTTGTCATCCTCCCACTTGAACTGTTTCAGGAGTTACAAAGCATATCGGACTCCCAATCATCACTGGACAAACCCCTGCATTGTTGTTGGGTTTTCTCATCATTGTCTGCATCCACATACTCATCACCACTAAGATCATCAATTCCAGGTTCATCATCACTGTCCACGTCACTTCCAATTCTTCTTACTATGAACCTTCCCCCTCCATCCTCAATGCTGCTTCCAATTCTGGTGCCAGTATTATAACTCCCCTCCATCCTCAATGCAACTTCCACTTCTTGTTCAGTTTAGGGAACTCCCTCCATCTCAATGTCAATCTTCCCACTTCTTGTCAGTGTAGGAACCTCCCCACCTCCTCAATGGGTCCACTCCAATCTTCTCACTTTCAACCCCCTTCATCCTCCCTTCCATCCTCCCTTCATCCTCAATTGCACTTCCACTAATCCCTCATTCTCAACCTCAACATCTTCTGCATCATCCTTGTCATTGCCTCCAAGAACAGTTTTTCATTATAGCAGCCTCCTTGTCACCCTCAAGTTGTGCTTCTCCTCCAATGTCACTACCCTCAACCACTGTCTGCCGGACATTCACATAGGTACAAAATCTCATTGTTCATCATTTTTTACAAATAGCTGGTTCGTCTCTCCACCCCATGCACAAACATTACATGTTCACTTTCCCCAAATAAGAGCCACCTTTCATCATGTTGATGCTCCTTTATCATCATCAAGCTTATGTTAAAACATGTTGGATATTGTAATTAATTCTTTATTCCATGTAACCCAGATCTAAGTGACCTAAACTTCAAAATAACACCATTATCGGGATCTACGTCCCAATAAAACTAATCTCCCCCGCCCATTCCATATCTAAAGGGGACTTCTTTGATCAAGGTCCCACCGTGATGGACACAACCTAAAACAGTTCACACCCATCCACCTACCCCAACCGCAAATGCAAGGGGCCACTAATTTAAGTTAAACTAATATCTATGGGACCACTATGAAACCATCAAAACAAGACAAACTTTTACCCCTACTTTTAATCCCCCTATAAAGCGACAACAGTGATAACATATACAACAAAATAATATCATAAAATTATCAAACATAACCCTAACATGATTTGCGGGGTTTCCAATTTCAGCTCAGATTGTGGTATCCAATTCGCGCTTGAGATTTCAACAAACTTCATCCACGATGATCAATCCCAAATTAGCAAGTTCTCTAAAACTCCTGAAACCTAACTTCTGATTTCCTAACCTTCACTACTATTACCAAAAATTTACCTCTCACAGCCACGTATCACCATTCACTGCCACGTATTACCCACACAAAGCCACGGAGCTTAACTCAGTCCACTCTGTCAGCTTTGCCTCCGTTAAAACAACTTAACGCCGTTTCCAAAAGACGTGATTGCACACTTTTTACAAAGAGGGATCACATTGAACTTCTAAAAAAAAGGTGGGGACCACATTGACATTGGCCCCCTTTCTAGGGACCAAAAGAGGTATTAAACCTATATATTATGTATCATCCTTATATATCGTAGATAGAGCGAATGTTAAGCACAACTCAACTTTAACTTTAACTTTAAAGTTATTTTATACTCTTATTTATCACGTAAAGTCACACATTCGAACAATAATAATATCACAAGTATTTTAAAATCAATTATCCATTTTTTTTATTTTAATTTGGTTTTCATGAAGTGAAATAGAACCTTATTCTTTTCAACTTAGTCATCTCATTAGTTCGGTCTATCTCAGACATCACGTTAGCTTATCCATCCTGTCTGCCCGTCCATCTTAGCCAGCCCGTCTATTTCAGTCATCTTGTCAGTCCTCTATCATGTTAGTTTGTCTAGTCAACTAACCTATCCATTCTGGCTATCCCATCAGTCCGTCCATCCCGTTCACCCCATCCATCCAGTCAGCCTATCCATCCTAATCAGTCTGTCCAACCCATCTAGCTCGGTCAGGATGTCCATCCCTTCCATCCTAGCCATCCTCTTAGCTCGTCCATTAAGTCCATCCCGGCTATCTTGTCCAACCTGACCACATTGGCCAACCTGTTCATCCTGTTAGTTCGTCCATCCTAACTAGCCTGACCAGATCGATAAGTTCGTCCATCTTGATCATCTGGTCACCTATCAATCCTTGACCCTCTCATTAGGCCCGTACATCCCGACCCCAACTCATCCATATCGGCCATCCTGTTAGTTTGTCCAATCTCGTCCATTCTGACCATCCCGATCATTCCTTCATCCTGCTAGTGTTCAATTAAAATATTAAAATATTATCATAAAGTTGAACTATGCAAATTTAGGAAGCAAAAACAATCATTCTTCCATCACAAAAAAGAAAGAAGAATTGAGATAATATAAAGAAGAAAGATACCAACCTGACATGTTGAAACAGAATTGAGAATTCATAACTATCATAGTATGTTTTTCACCTTAATAGTGTTGTTGGGAAGTCAACTTGCCACATTTCATGTTAGTGATCGTAAAAGGAATAAAAAAATATAACTTGACATTAGTTATAATATTATATGTAAAAAAATAAAAATTTCAATTATCAAAAAAGGGTGAAAAGACAAAACATGTGTTGTCAACTTATGCAATAACTCCAATGACAAAATTGAATGTGGTTCATAACCAAAAAATGCATGAAGAGTCATAGTGTAGTAAATATTAATGAATTACTAATAATAAAACATAAATATCATCACCATAGGGAGAGACATGATAGCTTAAAACTTGCAAACATGTTTCAGATATAACTTTGTCAAAGGATAAGAAATAAATAAGTTCATTAAAGACACTAATGAGTGAGGGAGGAAACAATTATAAACAAAATGTCTCTAACAATCAACCAACATTCATCAATAACAAAATACCTCACCATTATAACAACATTTCAATCTAACATAAGCTATGTTGGAAGTTCCACATTGACTAGAAATAAGATCAACTTAAAGTATATATATATATATATATATATATATATATATATATATATATATATATATATATATATATATATATATATATATATATATATATATTATATATGTTGGTGCAAACCCCACTTTACAAACCAGTTTTGTGGAGTTGAGTAAGGTTTAAAGTCCACTTCTTTATCAAAGCCATTGTTAGAGTCTATCCTAGTAAGATTTGTTTTTTTGTTGGGCATATTGTTCCACTTGCTATTGGACTATCCATTAATGTCTAATCCCTCGCACGAGATGTATATACCTCGGTGCGAGAGGAGTGTGTTGAAAATCTTACATCGACTAAAGATAAGGCTAATTTAGAGT